CTCCCCACCTACGCTCACCTTTACTGGCTCCATCCCCGCCTCTTTGACCTGTCTGTCTCCTCTCCACCTATCTTCTCCTCTATCCATCTTCTATCCGCCTCCCCTTCTCTCCCTATTTATTTCAGAACCCCCTTCCCCTCCCTCATTTCTGAAGGAGGGTCGAGGCCCAAAATGTCAGCCTTCCTGCTCCTCTGATGCTGCTTGGCCTGCTGTGTTCATCTAGCTCTACACTTTATTATCTCAGATTCTCCAGCATCTGCAGTTCTCTTAATTAAAGCACGTCTTTTCCCCCTGTGCCCTGACTTCCCATTTTGAGCTAAATTCTAAGTTATTCACAATTCTCAGTGTCATTTCAGCAAGGTCTACATTACTCTGATAGTGTGACGTACTCTAACGAGTAAACATTGAAGTCCTAAGGTCAGATTTTCAGGAGCTAGAGAGGAAGGTAAAAAGTAGGACCTTGAGTGTAGTAATCGCTAAAACTCTCACATTGCCACACACTAGGATATGGGTTCAATGCTTTAAGCATGGTGCAGGAGGAAGGACTTCAAATTCTTGGGATCAGTTCTGGGTCAGACTGCAGCTCGACAGAACTGGAACTAATGTCCCCATGGGAGGTTCGCTAGTGTGCATGGGAAGAATTTAAACTAAATTGTTAGGGGATGGATACCAACATATATGGAAGTAGAAAAGAGGAAGATGCATAAAGTGAGCTTTGGACAGCACTAGAGGTGGAATTAGTATCATATTCAATCATATAGGAGTGAACTGAGGACTACAAGGAATATTTTCAAAGGAAGCTGTTCAGAGAAGGTTCACTGGACTGATTCTTGGACCAATGACATTATCTTACAAGGAGAGGTTGAGAGAGTTGGGACAACACTGAAAATGAGGGAATCATGACTGAGATATATAAAATTAAAAGAGGCATAGAGATGGTAAACAGGAAGAAACTTTTCCCGTTAGTAGTAGGGATCAATGCCTGGGGTAAGAATTTAAGGTAAGGGGCAAGAGGTTTACAGGGAATGTGAGAAAATATTTTTTTCACTCAGAGGGTGGTGGGAATCTGGATCTCATTGCCTGTAAGGATGGTAGAGGCAGAAACTGTCTTAATATTAAAGAAGTGCTTAGATGTGCACTTGCAATGCCAAGGCCTACAAGGCCACGGGCCAAGTACTGGAAAATGGAATTAGAATAGTTAGGTGGTTGTTTTTGACCGATGCTGACTCAATAGGCCGAAAAGCCTTTTCTGTGCTGTAGACCTCTATGACACTCTGGTATTTAGAGGACAGGGGATCTTATTGAAAGCTTGAAGATTCTGAACCAGTTTGATAGGATGCTTCCCTCATGAGGGGGATAGATCTGTAATTTAGAACTTGGGGCATAGTTTCAGAACAAACGTTTCCCACATAGGATAGAAATTATTCAGGGAGGAATTTCTTCTTTCAGAGGAATGTGAATTATTGTAATTCTTGACCCCAAAGAATTATGGGGGCTGAGTCATTGAAGATAGTCAAATCTGAGAAAGACAGATTCTTGGACCATAAAGGACTTAGGTTACATGAACAGGCAGGAATGAGAAGTTGAGGCCAAGATCAGATGGGCTACAATCTTACTGAATGGGGAAACAAACACTGGGGCTGTATGGTCTAATCTTGCTCTTATTTTTTCATGTTCTTATTAAGTCAATAGTTTTTAACCAGGCAATGTTGGTACATTTAATGCAACTGATCTATATCAATACCTAAGGTTACCTTCCAAAGCATGGACTAACCAGGAAGTTAATAGACTCAATGACATCCATGAAAAGTTCATTCTTCCGATACTTGATTCCTTCAGATCTCCAGGATACTGCATTGGTGACAGCAGCTGGAGGTCTAGGTGCTCCCTGCTGCAATTTATAACCTTCCTGTGTAATGTATCTGTGTCAAACCACAAAATGACGGACTGAGATGAAATGCTTTATACATTTTCAAACAGAGAACTATTACAATAACCATTTGCTTGTATCGTGCCATTAATTTAAAAATGCCTTAGAGACGACACTGAATAAGGAAAAGGAGGAAAAGTAATAGATAAGTGAAACAATGCTGAGCCATGGATGGAGAGATCGTGGTGGTTAGGACAGAAACAGGTTAGAAAGCTTAGCTTTCACTAGGTTTCCTTCTAAGTGAGAAGAGACAAAAAATGTTATCAAGGGATATCCACAAAGTGGATTGAAAAAGTTGAGATTCTGAAGGCTTAGCAGGAGCAGGGTTGGAGAATGCAGAAAAGGTCTTAGCTGAGAAACTGAGGAGTGAGGTGGGGAATAAAAGGGAAAGTGACAATCTGAAAAACAAGTGGGTAATGCTGTAAAATGACAAAAGGACAAAGTAACCAAATCAAATTTGTTCATTTTTCTCCAAATTGGAACCTGGTGGATTTCATGTGGTCTCTCTTCCATATCCAAATCTGACTGAGAAGAACTCTGGATAGTTTTCAGCAGAATAGATCTTTAGATTTAAAGGGAAAGATCCTGTCCCTTTGCTTCTTTATGTGCTGAGGAGTTCTTTACGTTACAGTATACCTCTTTCAGAAAACCCATTCAAGTTTTTTTTTCCCCCCGCTGGCTATAACACCTCACCTCCCCACTTCCACCCATCAATGCTTTGTATCTTATTAATAGGTTTGTTTATCTGAGAAGACCAACTTTTTCTTCAAATAAATCAATTTCTTTATCCCCACCACTTTGCCTCCAAAGTCATTCAAAAAGGTGCCTGAACCGTGTCACCTTGCATTATCCATTGTTTTTATGTTAGTAATTCTTGAGCATGGACAATCTTCCAATGCTCATATTCCTTCTCAGAGCTCAGTTTGCATTAATACATGTGTTATAGGTTAACAGAATCCATGGAGTCTCTCAGTATCAATTTAGCTGAACTAACCTAGTCCGTTTCAATCTGGATCATTTCAATTCAGTAGTCTGATCTATTCTGTGTTATTTTCATTCCTAAATTTCATAAGCTATCTGACTTTGCTTCCCCATTATTCTTAATCTACCAAATCAAATGTTTATAGAAAACAGCTATAAATTACTGTATACAGATTATGGTAAAAAAGGAAGGATACTGCAAATCTGAAATAAAAGAAAATGTTGGAAAAAAAAACATCGTTCTGATGAGAGGTCATTGATTTGAAACTTTAATCCCAAACAGAAATTGCATGATTAGATAGATTGAGTGAAGTGGCTGAAATTCAGTCTGTTGAGTAGCTAAGGAAGAATTCATCAAGTTGGAATTTAAAACAAAATTTATGGGTAACCGGTGATTCAGCTGGTTAGGGCAAGAAGCTTCAGAGTCACGCTGGTCAAAAATTATTCAAATTCAGTCTCTGGCTGTGTTGAAAATAAGGGAAGGAATTTTGGCCTGGGAGCAGATCTTGTGCAGTGGGAAATAGGACTCGTGAGATTTGGAAAATGCCTTTCCCGAATAGCCCCCAGAATTCAATTACAGAGCTGGTGTCAACTTTTTCTGCACTCCCAGGTGGCCTGGTTGAGAGGCTGGAGGTCTTTTTGAAAGGAAGCCAGGTCCACACAAAACTGAAGCCTACAAGAGCAGCCAGATCGATATGGCAATGAGAGAGATGGGGGATGGGCGTGGCTCACAGGAAGAACTGGGTACCACAATGGCCTGGACAGTCTCAATTAGAGGGTATGGGTGAGGCGGATGCAGCGTACAGGAGTCTAATCATGATTGGGGAATGTTTGGACAGAAACACAGAAATTGCAGGGGTGCAGGCTGCCTAGTTTTTTGGGGCCTAGGGAAAACATGCCTGCTCTTAGCTAAAAAGGCATTCTGCAAAGGCATTTGCTGATAGCTCTTCCTCTTATTTGGAATGGACCTGGGAGAAAACAAATTGAGAGCCAGGCTCGAGGAGAGAATCTGAACTTCGAGGAAAAAAAAAAGTATGAAATCAGGAGTACTGCAGGGTCAGGTTTGGGTCCAATTACATACCCAAAGACAGAATCATAAACTGGAGTAGATCAGGATTGAGGAAGGGTTTTGAGGAAGGGTCACAGGACCCGAAACGTTAGCTCTGATTTTTTTCTTCACAGCTGCTGCCAGACCTGCTGAGCTTTTCCAGCAATTTCTGTTTTTGTTCCAGGTCAGGATTGGGATAGAGTTAAAGTGGAAACAAACAAATAACAAACCACTATGTTTTTGTAGGACGGCTGGGAGTTAATTAGTTGGATGAATACTGCGACTGTGTTTCCGTTTCTACAAATTTAGGGAATTGGTCCAAGCATCTGGGAAATTAATTATTATTTTTTCAAAACTCACGATTGAACAGTTTTCCAATATTCAAGTAACAATAACAGAAGTAGAGAGCAGATGGTGATTTCTTTTCTTCTCAGCAAGGTTTATTTAGTAAGTTATGAGTGCTACAGAACTATATTGTAACAGTTTTGCTGAAAGAAAGAATCATGACATTGAAGCTTTTCAGCTTGCCCTCATCAGGAAAACTAGAAGGGGCATAAATGCCTAGACTGTATGCATTTCCCATGGCAATACCTTGTCTAGAGTTGACTTGTAAATCAATCAGCACCCTTGTTTATGCAGTATAAATTGACACTCCCTTTGAAATCTGGCATTCTTGTCTCTGTCCTGATGAATGCTTGGACAACATCCCCTTTTTCAGCAATACTTAAAACATCAGTCATTAGGGGAGCTCACAGCAGAGGTAAATTAATAAAGTCTAGGTTAGGATTACTGTGCATGGTATGCTACTATGCACAGCGTGGCTGGCAAGATTGCAGTTACAGATAGGCACATGGAAATAGGCAAAGATCTTGCTCAAAGAAAGGCAGACCTGGGTATTGAATATTCCTGGATACAAGGTGTTCAGCTATGACAAGAAAGGAAGAAACAAGGGTAGCATTACTGATTAAAGAAAACATTGCTGCACTGGAGAAGGACTTGTTCACAGCCTTCAAGGACGGAATCCATTTGGCTGGAGCTATGGAACAACTGGACCAAACAGAACAAAAAAATTTGCAATTTCTTGGTGGGAAAGATCCAAGGAATGAGCTGGCATCAAGACTGAAAGAGTGGTAATAATGGTGAACTTTAGTAGACTGGGATATTAGTAGAGCAAATGTCAGAATATGTTTAGGAGATTTTTTGAAAACAACAGCAGTAAGTCTTCAGTCCAATGTGAAAGGAGGCATTGCTAGATCTTGTTCATAGATAGACCAAATGATCAAGTGTCAGTGGGGGAACATTTAGGACCCAGTGATTATTGTATCAGAAGATTTAGATTGGCCATGGTAAAGGACAAGGAACAAACCAGAATAATAATAATTAACTGGGGGAAAGCCAATGACTCAAAATTTTGCAGAAAAACATAAACTGAACAATAGGCAGAATAAAGGACAGAGAGTTTAAGCATAGTCAAGGTATATTCCCACTGAAGAAAGTACTGCAAACAAATCAAGAGCTTCTTGAATGATGAAAGAGGGAGAGAATTTAAGATGGAGAGGAAATGTGCTTATGACAGAAGTCAGGTGAATAATACAATCAAGAACCAGGCTGAATATAGAAGTTTCATTAAGGAATTGAAAAACTAAGAGATGCAAGAGACAGTATGTGAAAAGAGATTGTTTGAGTAGTGGAATGGCCATGCTAAATTGCCCCTAATGTTCAGGGATGTGCAGGCTAATGGATGAGCCATGGGAAATACAAGGATAGGGTAGAGTCTGGGTGGAATGTTCTTTGGAGGGTCAGTGTGGACCTGATGGGCCAAATAGCCTGCTTCCACATTGTAGGGGTTCCATGATAGTACTCATTTATGGGATTATACTTGGAAAAAGAAGTTAAAGTCACCATAGATTTACTGGGCATGGTGCTGCTCACTCAGGGAAATGACTGCTGTTGATTTAACCGAGTGTCACCATGCTTCAAGTGAGGGGAAGGGTTGAGAAAGAGAATCCTTCAGGGTAACCTCAGCTGGTTCAAGAATTGAACCCATGCCGTTGACATCACTCTGCAGTGGAAATCAGCTATCTAGCCAACTGAGCTAAATGACTGCCAAAGCAAAGTTGCCATAGTCCTATTGGATCATAGAGCTGCTCTCTTGGAGAGAGATGACTGGTAGTCACCACGCCTCATATGAGGGGAGTGGTTGAAAATGAGAGTCCTTCATGGTATCTTCAGCTGGCGCAGGAACTGAACCCACAATGTTGGCATCATTCTGAACCACAACTCAGCTGTTCAGGCAGATAAATAGTAAAAGGACAGTAAAAAGGAGTGATTAGGGACCTAAAAGGAAATTCATGCATGGAGACGGGGAAATGGCTGAGGTTACTTAATCAATATTTTGTGTCTGTCTCTACCAATGAACATACTGCCCAAGTTACAGTGAAAGAGTAGGTAATTCACACACTGCTTTATTTGAATATTTAAACTACTAAGTTCCTTCCAAGGGGAAGATTAGCTGTCTGCCCTTCATCCTGCCTCAATCAAGACCTCCTGGATTTTAACCCCTAACATAATGTCAAATTACTCATTTTTGCCAGTTAAAAACTCAGTCCTTGTTCCTGTTAGGTATGTAGTAACTTCCACTAAAATTATGCTTATATGGATGATATTTGTAGACAGGAGATGGTTCAGTTGTGTTGTTGCACTGAGGTCAGGTATTTAGCTAATAATTCATCACAAAAGCTCATACAAGAATGGCTATTAGGTCAAGGCACCATGAAACCATATTCCAACAGAAACCTGAAGTGTGGGTGAAAGAGGAAGTAAACAAAACAATGAAAGATTTAAGCTTTTTTCTAAAAGGTAAAGCAGAAAGGAAAGACCTAACTGAGTCTAGTTTAGTTCAGTTCCCTAGCATGGGCAGAATTACAGTAAAATTATTTTATATAATTATCATTTCAATAACAGAAGAAACATTTCAAACCTCCTTATGGATTTTCCTGGAATCTTTTTTCTACTTCCTTTTTATGTAACAGAGTTGATACACTGAATATACCTACTCCTGCAATATGGCTGTCTCAGTGATCTGGGGGTAACCAAAGTCCATAATTTCATCAAGAAGCTCGTACATTAGAATAAAATTGTCCTGTATACTCTCTTGTTCAAGATCTCCAAAGTACTCGATGAAGATCTAAAATTATAAAAGAAAAACATATCTTTAGGGGTGCATTATAGATTAAGGCACCACCCCAAAATTTCCAACAATTAACCATATACCAAAATACCTTCAAAAATACTTCTCATGAGATATTTAATGATACAGGGAACACATCTGGAAACACTAGATCTATCTCAAATGGCTTTAAGATCCAACTAACTTAATTAAATTCTGGATAGGGATTTAACTTTTGACAAGGGCTGGGTGTTTCGTCCTTTGCAAAACCTCTGATTACAAAACAACAGATTGCAGTCAGGGTTAATCTCTTGCAGGATGCACCATAACAAGGAGAAAAGATTATTCAATTTATTAATGCTCATCAATTCTGGTTTTGACCAGTTGAAATGAATCCTTTGAGGAATAAATAATACGATGAGTAGACCATGATCATGGTTGATCAAACACTTCAATACCTTTTAACCACAGTATCCCTGTAATCTTTTATACCACTGATTATCAAAAATTTCTCAATCTCTATTTTAAACATACTGAAAGACTAAGTTTCCACAGTGCTCTGGGGTAGAGAATTCTAAAGATTACAAAAAAAACTCATTTCAGTCCTAAATGGGATTCCCCGTTTTTTTAAAAAAATTGCGCTTGCTGGTTCTACGCTCCCTCAACCAGGGAAGGTATTTACCTGTTCTAACAGTTCTGAGGAAGGGTCACCGGACCCAAAACGTTAACTCTGTTTTTCCCTTCACAGATGCTGCCAGACCTGCTGAGCTTTTCCAGCAACTTTGTTTTTGTTCCAAGGTATTTACCTGCATTTACCTTGTCTATTGCTTTAAGTATTTTGTAAGTTTCAATGAGATCTCCTCTTATTCTTCAAAGCTCTGCAGAAGACGGGTTCAATTTGCCCAATCTCTCTTAATGGACAGTCCCACGATCCTGGGAACAAGTCTGATGAACCTCGATTGCATTTGCACTCTGGCAATATATATATTACACAAAACAATGTAAAAGATTATTCACTTGTGACCTGTCTATATTTGCAATTGGTTTATCCAGGTCTATAATTCCAAATCTTTCTTAAAGTCTACTTCCAGAGTAACAATTCTAGCCACTTCTTCCAATCCTCTTTCTTTTCTTCCAATGCTTAATTTGCTGCAATATTTTGTTATGGTACAAGGCACAATTCAAGTTGATGCAAATAGCTGTTACCGTAAGTTAGAATTACAAAACCATTCAATAGCTGACTGAAAACATCAACATTTCACACAGTTTATGACATTTATTTTGTCTCCAGCTGAATGTCAATAGCTGATGAGACAATGCTTATGTTATCCCTCGTAACATAAGATATCAAGACATGGATAACGCATTATCGAAAGATCCATCTGGCATTTGTTACAGCTTATTATTATATACAACTATTCCATTTACAAACATATCCATGTCAAGGCTAACATTAACCTAGTCAATTATAACGATAAGTATGCTTCAAAGTGGTCGCAGTTAAGATGGATAAAATAAAGAACTGCAGATACTGGAAATCTGAAATAAAAACAAAAATTGATAGGGAAACTCAGCAGTTTTGGCAGTATTTGGCAACTGGCATTGTTCTGAAGAAAGGTCACTGGACCTGAAACATTAACTCTGCTTTCTCTCCACAAATGTTGCCAGATCTGCTGAGTTCCTCCAGCAAGGTCTGTCTTTGTTTCAAGTTAATATGGATCTGAAACTTTAAACCCTAAGGTCATATGCTATGATGCAATGATGATATCATGAATCGGTCTCTTAAAGGTATAATGACATACTGACCATTAAACATAACAGGTTTATATGCTCTTTACCTAAGTTTGAGTTGCGCAAGGCTTTTTTGAGGGATTTCCACTATGATTTCTGCTGTATCTTCTTATCAATGTCACCACATTAACTACCTATCTAATCCCTACGATGTCCGTCACTTCTGATTATGGCCTCATCTTACCACACGCCATTCCTGGACCAATTCTCAATGCAGACAATATCCACCAAAAGTCTGTTGTGTACCCGTCAAGCATCGGTAATGTGGCATTGCCCCTCACCAGCAACATTATGACATAGAAGCTACAAAGATAAGCTGCCCACGGCATATAGCTGACACTCCCTTGCACATATAACCCTATTCTCTTAATCTGTTCACTCTTTAATCATTACACCACACACTTCATCTGTCTATACCTAATCCCATCTCAACACGCTGAAACCAGTACTATCCCGTCTCCAATGCACACTGTAGATCTGCAGCTTGTCATTATGTAGTAGAGGAATGTCAGACAAATACAAACAGGAAATTTTATTTTCAGACAGCAAAAGTGAATGTAAAAAGGAGAGTAAAAAAAAAAAAAAAAAAATCGATTAAGGGTGCAATTTACATTTTACGAACCATAATGGTCTGCTGCACCCAGCTCTCATCTATTGGAGGCGAATGTTAATGACGTTCTGTCTGGCTTTAAATCCCAACACAGCTGAGCTCTGTTATGGGCAAGGAGAGCTTCCTCCTCCTCCTCCATGGAAGGCAGCTCCTGTTCCTCCAGTTTATAAGCAGCCATGAAATTGTCCGATTGCTGGGCAACCCTAACCTTACCTAAACTCCTGCTGCAGCTTTTCGATGCTAGTTGCCAGTTTGCCAATGCAAGTGTGTGCCTCCTAAACTGCCTACAAGTGTATTGGTCATGAGAGGTTAGCACATAGCTGGTGTAAACGTACATGGACATGCAGCTCCTGCCTTGAAATAATGATTGCCCTGATTGGTCATAATAACATGGAGGTCCTTTGTAACAAGCAATGACCTGAAGTTGACAGATACTCTTTGATGGTCGGTTTGTTTGGCATGTTTGGTAAGACAGACAGATGAATGTTAATTATGTGAGATGAGCTGTAAACAAGGCTTTTAACAAGCAATAATTCCCCTCAATTGGCAACACGAGCTACTTGGGAAGAAAACCATTTTGCTGCTTGCCAAAAGAATAAAAGACATAGCAAGAAGCTGCCAACATTGAAATGGGCTGCATTGGACTGTTCGTCTGATTTGGCCACAAATCACGGCTTAGACTACATCACTCAGACCCCTATAAGCTTCTGTCCAACACAATAGATTACCATGAACAGCTTATATTTAAACACTGCATTTATATATTAACTAAAATTCTATTTCAAAATTTTTCTCATTTCTGTGCACTTATTTATTGTATCTTCTCCTTAGTGCATCTGATTTTACAGATGTCAAAATAACTAAACATTGTCAAACAAAACATGAACTATGTTTAAATGTTCTCCACAACATGGTCATGGCTGGCTCTGAAAATGCATTCTGCAGGACAGTTTAAAAATAAGTCATTTGCACTGAAGTTAAGAGAATATTAAATTTCCAACCGTCACCTTCCACCGACGGGATTTGTAGTGATTGTAATGAGGTCACCCAGGTGGACCTTAGAATGAGTTCCCTGATTGGACCTGATTAACAGCCCCAATCAGGGAGCCCTGGCTGACAGCTAAGCTTCTGAGGAAGCTGACTCAGTGTAAAGGACTCCCCACATGTAAATAAAGTGGGACTTGGTGATGGGATACCGGTTTCTGTGGAATTATTTCAGTGATGACGAGAGCAAAGCACATTTCTGAAAAAAATTTACTTGCAACAGTCGTCTTTGAAATGGTGTAAGCATTTCTGGTATTGTACCATTATTTGGGAAGTTTGACTCATTTGATCCTGCCAAAGACTGTGCCCAGTATGTAAAAAGAATGTGTTTTTTTTTCTGGGCAAATGGCATTGGGGCAGATGAAATGCAACAGGTTGTGGACCCAGTAGCTTTTTTTGGTTTTTGCAGCCTAACTTTCCATGAGGCACCAGACATTAAAACCTTTCAAGAGTTGACAAATTTAGTTAAGGAATATTACAACCCCAAGCCTCCTCTAATTCTGAGACACTATTGGTTTCACTTGGCAGTGAAAGAACTTAGGGAATCCATATTGGGATTTATGACTAGGTTAAGAAGACTGGTGACTGGAGACAGGTGTCTTTAGTTTAACCCTGAATGAGATGCTGAAAGAGCGTTTGGTGTGTGGGATTAATGATGTAATCATGCAAACACACTTACTAGCTGAAGCCCAACTGGACTTCAAAACAGGTGTTACAACTAGCTTCATCATTGGAAAATGCGCCAAAATGGAGCATCTGAGTTACACGGGATTCTGATGGAAGTAGACACCTTCACTAGTCTGACTGAGCTTGGGGAACACCACTTGAGTGAAGGCAATTGTATAGCCTCATGAAAAATATATCCTGAGCAGAAGGACTCTGTGAGCCAACAGCAAAACCCCAAAACAAAGCCAAGCCTCAGTGAAACGGTTAAAATTTTCTTTAGGACCTGGGCTGGCTAACCATTGTAGTTGCTGCCAGTATGTGGATTCGAGAGCGCTAAAGAGTTCCACTAGGCCGGAACTGAGCCAGAGAACTTATAGGCCGGGAGAGTGCATATCCTACAAAGTCCACCTACATCTGGTTTGAAACTGTTAAATTGCTTAGCAACGTGCAAATCAGAACCATTCAGAATAAACATTTGGTTAAATGGTCACCCATTTCTAATGAAGGTTGATATGGACATGGCCAAATCGCAGAACCAATCTTTAACAAAAATTGGTCTAGACTCCAACCCTTAAGTTTGCACAAGGCCTTGGCTAGACTGAGAACATATACTGGGAAGCCTTTACAAATTAAGGGTACAACTTCAGTTCCAATCTCATGAGAAGTATGTAGTAAAAGACTCAGGCCCAAGCCTGATGGGTGTAATTGGTTGAAAAAGAATCACTTGGATTGGCTCAACATTTTTTATTTAGAAAATGGTTGAGTAATGTCCTAATAAATACCCAGTCCCGAGACCTTCCCGAAAAACCTCTATCAAAAGGAGCCAAGGCCACCTGGTGTGTTGACCAGGAAGCAATTCCATGATTTGGCAAGGGCCGCCCAGTGCCATTTGCCTCACGTACAAAAA